CCCGGCCCCGCCTTTGAGGGCCAGCAGGGCGCTGGCTGGGGCGGTCCCCGTCCCCAGGGCGGCTTCAACCCCAACGCGTACCGCGGCAACGCTGGCGCTGGCGCTGGTGCCGGTGCTGGTGCCGGTGGCGGCAACTTCAACCGTGGCTCCGGCGATGGTCAGTGGCGCGATGGCAAGCACATTCCCGGCCCTGCCAATCCCCGTGTCGAGCGTGAGCTCTTCGGTACCCCCGACGACCCGTCCAAGCAGCACACCGGTATCAACTTCGAGAAGTACGATGACATTCCCGTTGAGGCTTCCGGCGAGAACGTGCCCGAGCCCGTCCTCACCTTCACCAACCCTCCTCTGGACAACCACCTCATTTCCAACATCGCTCTCGCCCGCTACAACGTCCCCACTCCGGTCCAGAAGTACTCCATCCCCATTGTCATGGGTGGCCGTGATTTGATGGCTTGCGCTCAGACTGGTTCCGGCAAGACTGGTGGTTTCCTCTTCCCCATTCTCTCCCAGTCTTTCCACACTGGTCCTTCTCCCATTCCCGCCAGCGCTGCTGGTGCTTATGGTCGTCAGCGCAAGGCCTACCCCACTTCGCTCATCCTTGCTCCCACCCGTGAGTTGGTCTCTCAGATCTACGACGAGGCTCGCAAGTTCGCCTACCGTTCGTGGGTCCGTCCTTGCGTTGTCTACGGTGGTGCCGATATCGGCTCTCAGCTTCGCCAGATTGAGCGCGGCTGCGATCTTCTTGTCGCTACTCCTGGTCGTCTTGTCGATCTCATCGAGCGTGGCCGTATCTCCCTCTGCAACATCAAGTACCTTGTCCTTGATGAGGCTGATCGCATGCTTGACATGGGTTTCGAGCCCCAAATTCGCCGCATCGTTGAGGGTGAGGACATGCCCAAGGTCGACCAGCGCCAGACTCTCATGTTCTCGGCCACTTTCCCCCGCGACATCCAGATCCTCGCCCGCGATTTCCTCAAGGACTACATCTTCCTGTCCGTCGGTCGTGTCGGTTCCACCTCTGAGAACATCACCCAGAAGGTTGAGTACGTTGAGGATGTTGACAAGCGCTCCGTCCTTCTCGACATTCTTCACACCCACGCCGGTGGTCTCACCCTTATCTTCGTTGAAACCAAGCGCATGGCTGATTCGCTGTCCGACTTCTTGATCAACCAGAACTTCCCCGCCACTTCCATTCACGGTGACCGCACTCAGCGTGAGCGTGAGCGCGCTTTGGAGATGTTCCGCAACGGTCGCTGCCCCATTTTGGTCGCTACTGCTGTCGCTGCTCGTGGTTTGGATATTCCCAACGTCACCCACGTCATCAACTACGATCTCCCTACCGATATTGATGACTACGTTCACCGCATCGGTCGTACCGGTCGTGCCGGAAACACTGGTATTGCCACTGCTTTCTTCAACCGTGGCAACCGTGGTGTCGTCCGTGAGCTTCTTGAGCTCCTCAAGGAGGCTAACCAGGAGGTTCCCGCCTTCCTTGAGACCATTGCTCGCGAGTCCTCGTTCGGCGGTAGCGGTCGCGGCGGTCGTGGTGGTGGTCGTGGCGGCGGTCGTGGTCGCACTCAAACTGCCGATTACCGCAAGTTCGGCGGCGGCGGCGGTGGTGG